ACCAGTAAAAACAGTAACATTTTTAGGCCAGGTGTGTTTCTTTAAATGTGGGAGGTGCAAACCATGTAGAACTGTCAGATATGAAGACTACATATTTTGAATCCTCACACAAAATGAAAACATTAAAGGAAAACAATTACTTGTAACAATGCCCACATCGTTTACTAGTTGGTTGAAATATGTGGGCAGAACCACAAGGTAGTTAAGACTGGGTTTACACTAATGTAGTGCGGGACACCGCACGCAATTTGCATAGGAATTGCACCGTATTCCTCTGCGAAATACATGTGATGTCTCTGCAGCACGATTTGAGTCATACATTTAGTATGGCTCAAATTGCATCTGCACAAAAAAGTTGCAGGACCCTTTTTGCCTGCACCTGAATCACACTGCATGGGTGTTCTCACCCATGTGATGTAATTTTTGGCAATCACACTGCATTTTTGTAATCGGTTTTGGGGTGTCTTTGGTTTGAACATTGATACCCGCACCAGTTCGCATAAACTCCATGTGATTGCAATGCAGTGCGGGAAACGCACAGGATTCTCAGCATTTTCCACACCGCATTAGTGTCAGATTGGCAGGACATATAAACAATATAAGTAAATGAATTTTGTAAACCTAGTTCATGTAATCCTTTTCACCTGTACCACGATAGGGATCCCACTCTATTGTTTTGTGGTATAGATGTAGTGAAGAAACATTGGAGGGGCACTAACCTTGAAAAAAAGCAGCATCTCAAAATGAGAAAGTAGATTTATGAATTTTAAACCCTTACCCCAAAGGGTTAAAAATATAAGTTTAAACTGCTTTATTACCAATTTTTAGGAGCATATATTCCTGCTGTTGGCTGTAGGAATATATCCACATATTCCCCAGTCATAGAATGCACGGAGTCCATACCACTAACAATAGGTCTGCCCGGGGGTTTTGAGACTTTTATGAATCTCCGGTAAATAATGAATTGGAACTTTACAACATGAAGGGACCAAATATTGTTCTTCCTTATTATTCAATATATCCATACTCTTGGCTTTAGCTGTCAGACCACTTAATTCCTTTTTGAACTTCCTAGTGGGATCCCCTTTTAGCTTTTCATAAGTACTAGTATTACTCAGAATCTTCTCTATTTCTCCCTCATAATCCTTCCTGTCCAAAAGGACCACCCCTTGTAAATTTCAATATATAGGTCGAACAACAACACACTTAATATTGGCAACATGTTCCCTCAACCTAATCTGTAATTAAGGCAAGAAAGAGACCATAGCTTATCTAAAACATTTTAGGGAAGCCCATAACTGTATCAATCCCACAAAATTTTAATAAGGATGGATCAAAGTGGAGGACCATTGGAGGGGTGTTTATCAAACGAGGGGAATCTCATAAAATGAGACCTTTTGGATTTATGAATTAGATACCTTGAAAACCAAGAAGTTAAATGGGGAACTGGACCTTAATTGTGTTATTTCCAATGTGTAATTCCTATGGGACCCATTGTGATATTGTGTATCTCATTAGAAATATTAGGGGCATTGAGCTAGTTTATCATTCTCCTAGATTTATGGGATTACTTATCCCCAATTATTCTCTCCCCTTGAATGTTTAGCTCTATACCAGTTGTACATCTGTTTTCATACTATTCACATACATTATATATAGTATAAAATCTGGTAGGGATTTACCTACCATCCTGGATATTAGTCCATCCTTATTCTGTATGAGGCATAGATGGGTTGATGTAGTTCCAACAGATGTAGGATCTATAATATGGGATATCTATTGAATACATTATTTGGGAGTAATAGGGCACCTATTCGATTAGGCAGTTCTACTTATTTCCTGGTATCCATGAGGATAATGATATAAGTAGGATAACACTCACCCATATTGATGATGTAGCTTAGAGGTTGTTTTTTTTTTGTATGTACTCGGATATATGTGGGGCTTGTATAGTAGGTACATATATCGAGATGTTTATTAACTCACCATTAGGGGGCTATATGGTATACTATGTTCTGGTATTTGTATACATATTTATGGAATGACCACTAAGGGGCTATATGGTACAATTAATGTTTTGGTATTCTTTATGTATTTATCCAGGTATTATTTAGGATTATGTTTTAAAAATGTAAGTATTTGTAATTTAATATTCGGATTTGGCACCAGATACAACCTAGTTTCTGTTATCCCTTTTGAAAGATGGCTGATCTACATCCTAGTGTGGGTGGAAGTTTGCTATATAAGAGCCAGCCGCATGTCTGACGTGTACATCCTTTGATAAAGTCGTAATGATGAATCGCATCAAAGTGACGTCAGACGCTAACCAGAAGTCCAGCAGCAGCCATCTTGGTTGAGGTCCCAGAAAGGTGTTGTATGCTGCCGCTTTTATACACACTACTACATTGTAAGCGCTTTTTTATTTGAATAAATTTGTCTATTTTATCTGCTACATTACGGTCTGCCTATTTTTGATTTGATTTGATTGCATGTGACAATATCGGCAGTAGAGAAGATCTTTTGAAGCGTAGCAGTTAACTATGAGATTTCAGACTTGGGAAGATCTGGTAAGGTGCATGAACCATGAGGTGGTGGGTCACCTAAGGAGGATTGAGCACTGGTTAGTGGTCACAAAGATTGATAAAGTGTGAGTGCCAATGTGCTATCATTGTTTGCTGTATTGAAAATACTGCATTATATGATATATATATATATTTTTTTTTTTTGGAGCGCAATTTATCATAAAAGAAGAAAAATGAACAAAGTAACTTACAGGATTCATCCCCCTTTTTAATAAAGTGAGGATTTTTGATTGGAGAGTAAGAGTAGAAATTACGGATTTAGATTGATGGCACATAGTGGAGATTTGGCACTAATATAGCACTTTTTGTGAGTGTAATAAATTATGATTTTATTGCATTTAAAAAGTTAATGCACTATATGCGGTTTATATTTTTTGCATGAGACGTTAACACTCTATGAAAGGAGGAAGAGGCGTACACTGATTTTGTCACACATGAATTGGACATTTAAAATATTAACGGTGAGAACCTTGGAAGAATGGAAGGACTTATAGTATGAATTTCTACGTACTGTGATAAAGGACTTTTGATTTAATATGAATTTGGACACTGGGTTCTTGTTCATATTATACAACTTCCTAGGGGGGGAAGTAATATCCTGGTGACCTGGAATTTTTATTCCTTTAATTTGTATTTGTGGATATTTTGGAGATTAGTGATTGAGGTCTGTTCTGGGTGTGGATCTAACATACAGTTGTTATAATACCGCTAACAGTTGATCGTGGAATATTTAGTAGCAAGGAAATTTCACAGATGGACTTATTGCACAGGTGGCAACCTATCACTGTACAATGAACTCAACTTGCTTAATAAAGGACTCAAATTTGCTCCAAATAAAAAGCTGGACAAATTTAATACCTACATTGATATACATAAATGCACTCGGAGATTGGCCCTAAAAAGATATTTTTTAAACACACCTTTAATACGGGACATACCTAATACAGTTAATGGGGATATAAAAATCTCTAATTTAAAAAATGCTTCACTATTCAATCCATCTGCGCATTCACATATCAAAATGTTTAAAAATATTATGAAAGATTTGGACAAAATGAAAGTAAGTGTCAGGAATGGACTTGCCAATAGTGGTGGGACTCACCTGCCTTGTGGGCTGCAGTACCAGGGCTGGCCAGCGGACGCTCTCAACAACCAGAGGTTCACTTCAGCAATTAGCCATCACCTGGGGCTGATTGCAGGTGTATTTAAGGGATGGCCAGACCTGCAGTCTGGGCCTTGGTGTGTGTTTTTGCATGGGCCCCTGTATCTTGTAACCTGCATTCCTGTTCCTGTTTCTGCCTGACTTGTTGCTGACCCTGCCTGAGCCTGACCTCTGCTGACTTCTCCTGTTTTGATCCCTGGCTTGTGACCCTGACCATTCTCTCCGCCTGCTCCTCCTGTACCTACCTGCCTGATAGTAATCGACCCGGCCTGCCTAACTACGTTGTGCTCTACATGTGTATGTACCTTGGTATCTGTATCAGTTTAGGTTTGGGTTTGTTTCACCTTGTTGTATGTATTTGTGTTAGCTTGGGGTTTGGTGCACTGCGTTTATGTTTGTATTGTTAGTCTTTAATAGAGCGTCTTATTTATACCATATCTGAAGCTTGCGTTTCCCTGTGTCAGTCCACACACTTCTGGTCACACCTGCATCCCTGACATTACACCAAGGCGAATCCTGACCAGAAGTGGCTGCACAGGGAGGCCATCTTGGCTTATTATTGCTGGATAGGATGGATCTTGATGAGGTGGTGTATTTATCTTTGCTAGTGTTTGATGACAAAGACTATGCTTATCAGACTCTTAAGGAGTATACTCGGGATCAACTGCTAGAGTGTATAAGGATCGCTCATTGTCTAGTTGATCAGGGCACAGAGTTTTCTGAGGTGCAGACATTGATCCAGGTTTGTGCTGAGTTGGTTCGGTCCTGTACCCCTGAAAGCAGGGATGACTTTTTTCCCCCATTTATTGTGGATCAAGTGGAATCACTGGTATGGTTGTTGGAGGATGATCCAGATTGTTTCCATGAGCACTATGCAGCATGTCCATCACATGTGCTTATGGATTGCATAAACGCAGTGCAGTCTTTGATCAGACAGGCTAGGTGTAAGCTGAGTTTTGTTAAACCAGTACTGCAGACATGGACAGATTTGTTACACCCAGCCTCAGTTGGCTTGCAACATCATTCCTCTGCTCAAGGCACTCTTCCTGCATCCCCGACAGCACCCCCAGTGACGGCCCAGTATACTCTGCTAACTACCACATACCAGTCCCCTGCTCCCACTCACTGCACCTATCCTTTCTTCAACCCTGTAAAGAAGTCCTCTGTAACAACTGTTCCCTCCTCTGTTCCATCCTCCAGCTCTTCTGTCTCCAGCTGCTCCATCCGTTTACAAACCTGCGCTTACTTACAGTGCTCCGGTAACTAAAACCAGGAAAAGGCGAAAGTTCTTTCCAACCAATACCATCCTGCCAGTATCCAAACCGGTCAGCCTCCCATCTGAGAACCTGCCTTCCGTGGTGCAGCCTGGCGACTCGGTGCCCACAATTCAGCCTGATGTCTCTACCCAGCCTGATGTCTCTACCCAGCCTGATGTCTCTACCCAGCCTGATGTCTCTACCCAGCCTGATGTCTCTACCCAGCCTGATGTCTCTACCCAGCCTGATGTCTCTACCCAGCCTGATGTCTCTACCCAGCCTGATGTCTCTACCCAGCCTGATGTCTCTACCCAGCCTGATGTCTCTACCCAGCCTGATGTCTCTACCCAGCCTGATGTCTCTACCCAGCCTGATGTCTCTACCCAGCCTGATGTCTCTACCCAGCCTGATGTCCCAGCCTGATGTCTCTACCCAGCCTGATGTCTCTACCCAGCCTGATGTCTCTACCCAGCCTGATGTCTCTACCCAGCCTGATGTCTCTACCCAGCCTGATGTCTCTACCCAGCCTGATGTCTCTACCCAGCCTGATGTCTCTACCCCGCTGTCGAGCCAGATGATCCAATGTCTGATGACCCGGTGCCCAGCCCGAGGTGCCTCCGTCCGGTGCCCAGCCCGAGGTGCCTCCGTCCGGTGCCCAGCCCGAGGTGCCAGTCTTTGATATCCCGCCAGTCACCGGACCCGGGCGATGGAACATTTTGCCCAGCTAGGACTGTTTGGAGCGTCCTGAGGCCGCTCCTTGAGGGGGGTACTGTCAGGAATGGACTTGCCAATAGTGGTGGGACTCACCTGCCTTGTGGGCTGCAGTACTAGGGCTGGCCAGCGGGTGCTCTCAACAACTAGAGGTTCACTTCGGCAGTTAGCCATCACCTGGGGCTGATTGCAGGTGTATTTAAGGGATGGCCAGACCTGCAGTCTGGGCCTTGGTGTGTGTTTTTCCATGGGCCCCTGTATCTTGTAACCTGCATTCCTGTTTCTGCCTGACTTGTTGCCGACCCTGCCTGATCCTGACCTCTGCTGACTTCTCCTGTTTTGATCCCTGGCTTGTGACCCTGACCATTCTCTCCGCCTGCTCCTCCTGTACCTACCTGCCCGATAGTTATCGACCCGGCCTGCCTAACTACGTTGTGCTCTACATGTGTATGTTCCTGGGTATTTGTATCAGTTTAGGTTTGGGTTTGTTTCACCTTGTTGTATGTATTTGTGTTAGCTTGGGGTTTGGTGCACTGCGTTTGTGTTTGTATTGTTAGTCTTTAATAAAGCGTCTTATTTATACCATATCTGAAGCTTGCGTTTCCCTGTGTCAGTCCACACACTTCTGGTCACACCTGCATCCCTGACAGTAAAACTTTTTAATTATCAGCATAAGACTAATAAAAGTATTAAGTCACTGTTGTCCAATAAAGACCTAGTCATAAGACCGGCTGAGAAAGGGGGAGGAGTTGTGATCATGGATAAGACCACATGATCCAAGTGCATATTGGATGACTTGGATACTTACAAACCACTTCCAAAGAACCCATTAGCTGATTATAAAAAGGAATTAAAAAATGCAATCAAAGGGTTTGAAAATGGGGTGATTACGAAGAAAGAAAAAGCATACTTATGTCCGGCAGCCCCGAGACTTCCAGTTCTATATTGCCTCCCCAAAATTCATAAGAATCCGGTCTGCCTGCCCGGCAGACCTATTATTAGTGGTATTGGGTCCTTAAATTCTCGCATTGGGCAATATATTGACTGTTACTTGCAGCCTCTGGTCGTCACTACTCCTGCCTATCTGGAAGACACTAAGCAGATACTAGTGGATATTAAAGACCTAGAGGTTACTGATAAGACTTACCTAGTAACAGCTGATGTCTCATCCCTTTATAGCAATATGAAGCATGAGGATGGTATGGAAGCAGTAAAATTCTACTTTGACACCATCACCATTATACCTATGTGCCACAAAAGTTCTTTTTGGATTTACTTGACTATGCTATGCATCGCAACTACTTTTGGTTTGACCATTCTTTTTACCTACAGACCACTGGAGTCGCGATGGGGGCGAAGTTCGCCCCAAGTCTGGCCAATCTATTCATGGTCAGGTGGGAGGAAGACCTCATATTTGCGCGATTGGCCCTCTCTGCTTTTTTTTTTTTTTTTTTATCTTCGGTAAATTGACAACATTTTTCTGCTATGGGAGGGTGATGAATTTTCATTAAACAATGTTTTTGTTACTCTAAACAACAGTCTTAATATTAAGTTATCATTTGAGTATGATTTTAAAGAAATCAACTTTTTAGATTTGGTTTTAATGAATGATGGTATGAGTATTGTAACCAAAACATACTTTAAAAGCACAGACAAATAGTTTTTTACCTACAGATAGCTGTCACCATCCCACATGGCTAAAGAATATTCCAAAGGGACAGTTCCTGAGATTAAGGAGAAACTGTTCCAATATGTCTGATTATCATAACCAAGCTATATGTCTCAGAAC